GTTCACGCTTGTAATTCTAGTACTGAGGTGCCAAGACAAAAGGAGTGACACATATTCTGAGGCCAGTCTGAGCTACATAGTGAGAACTTGTCTCAAAAACCAAACAAGAAACAAGATGGAAGTTGTGCCTGGGACTCTCCAGTGTTCATGGAGACTCCATGAAAAATTCCCAGAAAACAAAAACCAAACACGCCCTATATAGTTGAGGCTTTGTGTTTTGGGATGAGATTTTCAGGTTGATGACTTGATGTACATCTTTAGAGTTACAGCTCTAGATAGCAAGTAGAATGTTAGAATGAAAACACATCTTAGACTTATAGAACAGATAGACCAAACATGTAAAGAAGCAGGAGGGAAGGGAACACTGGGGACCAGCCCCTTCAATAGAGTACTTGCTGTACAAGTATGAGGAGTTTGAACCCCTAGCTCCTGTATGAAACATTCAGCAGAAGCCCAGCACTGGGAGCTGAGACAGCATCCCTGAGGCTTGCTAGGCAGCTAGTCTAGCCAATCTTTGAGCTTGAGATTCAGTGAGAAATTCTGTTCCAAAAAAAATAAGACAGAGAGCTCCTGAGAAAAGGTACCACCATGCGTACACACACACACACACACACACACACACACACACACAGAGAGAGAGAGAGAGAGAGAGAGAGAGAGAGAGAGAGAGAGAGAGAGAGACACAAATAGGAATAAGAGAGTGGGAACTGGATGTGCTCCTACCTATAATCCAGCCTTTGGAAGGAGGATGCAAGAGAATTGCTGTGATTTTAAGGCTATCCTGGGTTACAGACTGACATTCTGGCTCAGACCAACCCTTTCATCTTCTAAAAAAAAAAAAAAAAAAACCAGGAAGGTAAAAATAATAGAATACTGAGGATATTGGGAGGAAATGAGTGGTGGGGGCCTGGCCAGACTATAGAACACAATGTCTACAGGTAGATAGTGAAGGCACAACATGGCAATTGGGAATCCCATGAATGGAAGAGTTTCTCTCTTATTTTATTGGAACTCTGACTGAGATTCCCCTCCAAGCTATGTAGCTGAAGAAAACTGTGAACTTCTGATCCTCCTTTCACATCCCAAGTGCTAGGATTATAAAGGTGTACCATTAAAGTCTGGCTCTAGAATTCCATAGTTCTCAGTTTAGACCCTCAGACCTCTTGTCGGATTACAAACACACAGCTTCTTGGTCTGTCAGCCTGGCAGTTGCCATGTGATGAGAGAAGCCTTAATAAGCACGGCAGACAGGCCACACTCCTGGGGTCTTTGTTCTTATTTGCTAGGTTTCCACTGTGTGGTTGCTTTACCATCCATATCTTATCCTTGAGCCCAAACCCTTGGGAAGTTCACTCCATCATCTATAGCTCTGTAATGGACAGATCAACAACACTGAAGATTTTAAACAGCAGACACATGTTATCTCCCAATTTCCGGGGACCAGGCATCCAGGAGAAGCATAATAGGCTAGTTGTGGCCCTGAATCTCCTACAAGGTTGCAGTAAGGCTGTAAGCTGGGCTTGACTGGAGGTGGAAAGCCTTCTGAATTCTCTTACAGGGTTTTTGTATACACAGTTTATGATTGGCAGTTTGCTAGAAGTTTCTGCTCCTCAAGTAGGGTCATTTGCTAGCTGACTGATGTCCTCATGACCCAGCCACTGGGTCTGTCATTTCCCACCCCACCCCCAACCTGCAGTAAATGATCAGGATGAAAGGGAAAAAAAATTGAGCCAAATGTCATGGCTCACAGCTGTAACCCCATCATGAGAATCAGAGGCTGGAGGATTGCTGCAAGTTTACCAGCCTAGTTTACATTGTGAGGGTGAGATAGGGAGACCCTGTCTCAAAACAAGTCTCAAAAGTGATAGGGTGTGACTTCTGCAATTGGTCAGAGGCCAACTTTAGTACTGTAGGAAGCTATGAATGGTGGCAGGAGATGGAGCTCCTGGACTGAGGCAGCTCAGCTGTTCCTGCCTCCAAGAGCTCTTTCCTCTTCCCTCCCTTCTCTTCAACACATTCCTCAGTTAATCCGAATTCTGGGCTGGAGATGGCTCAGGTTCCACAAGGCCCTGAACTCAGGCTTCAGAGTCCATGTTTTAAATACCAAGCATGGTGGTGCACACTTGTAATCCAGCATTTAAGCTACAGAGATGACCTCACTGGTCAGCCACCTACCCTGTGTGATGAGCTCCAAGTCAGTGAGAGATGCTGCTTGAAAGGTAGAGATGCCCTCTGGTCTCCATGCACACGCACGTACACCTTTGCTTACAAATATGAATACAAAATAAAAATAAAAGAGCAATCCCCCTAATTCTGCCTCTATATTATTTCTTAGATATGCCTTCATCTCAAACCTGGTTGTTTTTAAGGAACCATATGGAGGCTGATAGAAGATGCCTTGGGGCCTAGCCAGATAGCCACTGAGTATAGAAGACTGTCCAAGTCACACCAGAATTACAATAGTCAGTCAAGCCAAGAGCATAAACATTTGACTTGTTCTGTGCATATTAGCCACCACAGCAGAATATGAGGCAAATGCAATCTTAGGAATATTCCAGACAAGGGTGTGAAGTCACAGGTGAGTTAATTCCACAGGTGCACACAGCTCTGAAGGAGGCTTCTAGGCTCCTGAACAAGAAAAGCTTCAGGGTCTGGTCCATTCTACTTTGTAGGAAAGGAACCCTTGTTCTTGGGGGTCTGCCAGTGATGAGGAAGCAGGATTTCGACCTGCCAGTTGGTAGTGGTTGTGGGTCCCTTTCCTGCATGCACCCTTCCTCTGGTAAACCCACACCTAATAAGTAGAATTTTCTGAGCTGACTCTCTCTTGACCCCACTTGGATGAACAATTAGAGCTAATAACAGGAATCTTTGGTTATCACTGGCCCACCTGGGAAGAAGTAAGCACTAACAACCTTCCTCATTAGGATCTGAAACAGCCTGAGGCTAGACAACTAAAGGTTAAGTCAATTAGGAATCCAGTGGGACCAGAGAATGGACTCAGAACTCATTGAAACTGATGGAATGCTCTGAGCCTCACGTAGAAATGTCTCCCTATGATTTCAAATCTAAAAGCTTGACATACAGAACCAAAGACTTACTGACCTACATCCCTCTATTTTACCCATGGGTAGTAAAAGGCTAGAACAACCCTACTGCCCATCATATCCTAATTTGTCAGACCACTTGGGTATAGTATATCCTTAGACTGGCTTCAAACTTGGTGTGTAGCTGACACTGGCTGTGAACCCCCTGTTCCAGTTGTTACTACCTCCTCAGTGCGGGGTGGAACTACAAGTCTGTGCTTCCATGCCTGGTTTGTTAGTAATGAGCTTTGGCTCTGATCTTTTCCTGCCTCCTGTCAAGCCGTGGAGTGGGTACACCTGTACTGTGTGAGCGTGCCTGGAAACTCACATCCAGCTCTAACTGAGATCTCTGAATGATAAGGAGCCGCATTTGCCAGGCTCTCCTGCCTGCTGTTTTCTGGCCAAGTTTGATTGGTGGAAGATCAGAGCAAAACTAGGCATTTTGCTTCTCCCCACTGCCTCTCCACTGACATCTAGAGTGTGAGTCACCTCTGTGGTCCCAGCTCCTATTGGACAATCTGCCTTGTCTCCAGGTGACACCTGCCTTTGTAACTGTAGCTCCTCCAATTTGCGGAACTGTGGCTGCTGAGCTGCTGAGCTGTGACTGGTCTCTGGATTCCCTCATGTCCCCTGCTTGGTTTCTTCACTCTATCCTTTGTATAGTTCTCTGAATTATCTCTGCTTGTAGACCCTACCCTGGCTTGTCTTTTCTTTATTGGGCCTTGATGAAAAAGGAAAACCATCATCCTGTGTGTTCTTTCCTGCACTGTACAGGCAGGTTAACGTTCAATCATAATGACGTCAATGAAACAGGTCATCTGTAAGAACTAGTAGCTGGTACATTTACATTGTAAATCAAGATGATTAATCAAGATTTGTCTTGCCGGGTGGTGGTGGCGCACGCCTTTAATCCCAGCACGTGGAAGGCAGAGGCAGGCAGATTTCTGATTTTGAGAGTTCAAGGCTAGCCTGGTCTACAGAGTGAATTCCAGGACAGCCAGGGCTACACAGAGAAACCCTGTCTCGAAAAAACAAAAACAAAACAAAACAAAAAAGATTTGTCTTAATTAAAGGAAAATAGTTTTCTTTTCCTGAGTTGTTTTCCCCAGGAATCAGTGTCACACCTTCTCTGTGGTGTGAGAATGGATTCCTCTGATTTTGCAGGTCTTTATTATCACTGTCAACCATGACTTAACTGTCGAAAGAAAGCCTACTTGGTTTGGGATGGTTTAATACTTGTAGTGAATGAGTCCTAACTCATGCTGTTGGTTTTGTACCTGGCTTTGGTAATGAGCGTGTTCCTGTGGCCTTCCCACCACAAGCCTGTTTTTTGTGACCTCTGCCGTCCTGTCTGTGCCAAGCCCTGTTCTTGGCTTCTACACAAGGATCCCCACAAGGGCTCTGTCTGAGAAGGCAGTTTCCATGACTGGGGAGGAAGGGGCTGGTCTGCCTGCCAGCACTGGTTTTGAGACCACCGCTTGTTTTTCCAAGATTAATAATCACAGAGATCTCCAGCCGTGTTTTCTTTTCCAGAATACTTTCCAAAAAGTCTGTAAGAATGTCTCTGAAGCCTTTTTCCTTTGAAGGCAGAAAGGCCTAAGGGGAGCATAAATTATAACTTTGCAGAATACTATTTAAAACCTTATCCAATTTTTTTCTCTTCACAAACACACACACACTCACACACACTCACACACACACACACACACACACACACCTACCTTTTCACATATTTAAGTGGTCCATTTGTGAGGAGAAATCACTGAGCTATTGACATAGTAGGCCCTTGACTTGTTCAGTTCAATATAGTTTGAAAGAGTCAACTATAAAGCCTCAAATGTTTCTACTTGGAAAGTTCAAGATGACCTCCCTGCCTTAAAGAGTCTTCCTTTTTCTGTCTTTGTCTTTCTTCTACAGGCCATGTGTTTATACTATGGGATCCCCCATCAACAACAGGGCCCTTTTTCCATGCCAGGAACCACCCGTTGCCATGTCAACATGGCAGGCTACAGTTCGAGCAGCTGCATCTTTTGTTGTTTTAATGAGTGGGGAAAATTCTGCCAAGCCTACACCACTTCGAGAAGGTACAGTACATGTGTTCTTTCTTATTTGGGTGTGACACACAGCAGGACCCAAGAAGCCATCGGCTGTGCACAGTCTCTAAGGAGCTGCATTACTGGTGAGGTTGGAACAAAAATCCCTACTAGAGAAAGCACAGGGGTTGGAGGGGCACTGGGGAATCTGGGCATGGGGCCAGATTCTCCAAGCCAAGGTTATCAATATACATAGATGACTCCACTCTTACATGGTGGTTTGTGGAGCAAAAGTGGGTGGTCTTGGTTGAAGATTTCCTGGACAGGCAAGTGTGTCATGGAAACACATAGTTGAGCTGTGTGTGGTTTGGACATGTTATCTGTATGTGGTTGTCTGTTTCTATAAGAGGTAGTATGTAGGATGGCCAGCTCACTGGGCTTGGAAGTCTGAATCCAGGGTGTGTCAGAGGGACTGTGCCAAGAGCCAGCACACCACCCAGATCTGTTGTGAGGCCCTTTTCTGTTCAGTCACCATGGTCCATTTGATGCCTTCATGCCAATGCCAGACAACAGTACTTATTCTTAATGTAAAATATGATGTCCTCTTCTACATGCTTATCATAAAAACTTGAACATATACAAAAAGTCAAAAACCAAAATGAAATTATTTTGGAAAGAATGAGTGCTCACGTGTTGCATTATCCTTAGTACTTAAGAGGTACTAAATTGTCTTTACGATGTGTGACAGTATAATCTACTTTTCTTGCTCATAGTGTGCATTGAAAAAATACAATTATTTTGCTGTCTGAATATATCAGCAACTGACAGACCTTCACATTGATGGATATTTTGATCACCAGATTGTTTTCCTGTTATCAATACAGTTGCATTATGTTCCCAAGGAGATGGTTGAATGGATCAATGAGTAGCTGGATCTGAACTGAGTATGTCTAGGCTGTGTCACATGACCCACAGTATTTTCCATATTGTGCCTTCTTACTTAATGCTCCAATGTTGTTGACTTTATCTGTTCTGATTTGTGACATTGGCTTCATCATAGGTTATATTTGTCACATATGTACCAAGTTCTTAAGCTTAACGTTTTTATTTTTAAATGAAGAACTTTTAGATAATATATTTATACATGAATACAGGACATATTTGTAGTAAGTATATTTTTACTTTTTAAAATTTGGATTGGGATGAACATTTTCCTTTGCAGTCCATTTGAGACAGCCTTTGCTGATGAGTATTCCATTTGAAAAATTATTGGAGAATTTCATTCATGCACACATGTATTTTTCAGTGATCTCACATCACTTCTGTCCCGTTCCTCTCCTACTTTTTCCTCCCACTGAGTCTGTTTAGTACCGCCTGTGTGTGAATGGGTGTGGGATCATGGACTGCAGCAGGAGCAGCCTTTCAGGGGCTGCTTCCCTGAAGGAGATGGGAACTCTCTCTCCCAGAAGCCTCAGTTTCCAGAAGCTCCTCAGTTAGGGGTGGGGCTTCATGTGCTCCTCCCCAGTCGTGTGTGGGCAATGTCAGATGCATGAGTTCATGTGTGCAGCTGTACTCTCATGTTCAGCACACACCCATTTACTCTGCCTCTTACAGTCTGTCCTTGATTTTTTCCAAGATAAGCCCTGAGTCTTGCAGGGAGGGATGTGATGTTCCATGTAGAATTGAGCATTCAGTCTCCTATTCTTTGTACATTGATGGGTTGTGAGTATCTGCACTAAAAAAAGAAATGTCTCTGGTGAGGGTTGGCAGTTACATTAATTTATGGGTACAGAGATAAGGATTAAGAGGAGATTTATTACTGTGTCCATTTAGCAGAATGATGGCACTAGAATCTTCCCTAGCCACCTATGGGTTAATATCCCAGTTAAAGGTGCAGGGGATGGATTTCATCCTATGGAGCAAGCTTTAACTCCAGTTTATGACCCTCTTACAGGAATGAGCATGTCTCATGGTATATGTGTGTGTATATGTACATATACATAAATATGGAAATTCTGCAGTAGTAGATTTGAGTGACATTTTCAAAGGTCATTTTTGTTTCTTGTCCTTCCTGGACTCCCTTCTCCACCTGCCCTTCCAACCTCACCTCATTCAACCCATCTCTTCCAGCATTCCCCTTTCTCCTTCATACTACCTGCGTTCTGTCCCCTTTTCCTTGACGTCCTCCCCATGCTGATTACAGTTTTCTAATGTCCGTGGGTACTCTAATGAAGTACACACATCTGGATGTTCACAGCTAGCATCCACACAGGAGAGAGAACATGCAGTGTTGATGGTTCTGGGTCAGTTACTGCACTCAATGATTATTCATAGCTCTACCCATTTACCTCCAAATTGCATGGTTTTATTTTTCTTTATTAGTACATAATAGACTGTTGTGTAAATGTACCACATTTGCGCCATTCATCCCTCAGTTGATGAACATCTATGCTGTCTCTATGTTGTGGTTATTATGAATAGAAGGCAATAAACATAAATGATCAAGTACTTCAGTAGTGGGTATATGGTTAAACGTACAGGGGGTTCCTTTGGGAATCATCTCAGAAGTCACACAACTGGATTATATGCTACATCTATTTCTACCTTTTGGGGGAACCAGTTTGCTCTCTCATCAACAGTGAATAAGTATTCCTCTTTCTCAAGTCCAAACCAGTATTTGTTGTCATTTAAGAAAAATCTTAGTTATTGTAAGTTGCATAGGATGAAATCTCAAAATAGTTTATATTTCTCTGATGGCCAAGGATGTTCAAAATATTTTGAAATACTTCTCAGCTATTTGCATTTATTTCCTTCTTTCTTTCTTTCTTTCTTTCTTTCTTTCTTTCTTTCTTTCTTTCTTTCCTTCTTCTTCTCCTCTTCTTCCTCCTCCTCCTCCTCCTTCTCTTCTTCTTCCTCCTCCTCCTCCTTCTCCTCTTCTTCCTCTTCCTCCTCCTCCTCTTCTTCCTCCTCCTCCTCCTTTTCCTTCTCCTTCTTCTTCTTCTTCTAACTCTGTTTAATTCTCTGCCCCAGTTTTAAATTGGGCACAAACCTCCCAGTTGGTGTTTGATTACTTTGAGTTCTTTGGATAAGCTGGATGTTAACCCTTTGTCAGATGTACAGCTGGTAAAGGCTTTTCCATTCTGTACAGTGCCTTCAGAGGCTTGGTGGTGCCCCTTGCTGTACAGGAACGTTTTAGCTTCATGAGGTCCCATTTCTGAGTTGTTGGTTTCCACATCCATGCTGCACGCTTTGACACAGGGACTCATGTACTCTCCACTACCCTCAGACTTGCTAAGTAGCATGACAGGCAAAACATTCTACCAGCTGAATGCTGCCCCAGCCCAGCCCACTCCTCCTTACTCCTCCTCAGTTTGCTGATAGCCTGGCCTCAGAGGAGCTAAGGCTGGCTTCACTTCCTTAGCTTTTCTCTTTTGCTGAGGGAATTGCAAATATGTGTGCTGATCTCCCTTTAGAGGAGTGGGAAATTTAATACAACTAGGGATTTAAATGCATCTTCTTGTATATTTTGCTGTGTAGCATATCTTTAGGAATTGCTGTTAATTGTTTCACATTTCGCTCAGTTTTAAATCATCCTTTGAATACATGTTTAAACTGATTTTTCATTTTTGATCTCTTAAGTTTAAATTGTTTCCTGTTATAATTTTTTTAAACTTTTTCTCCAAAGGAAGATTTGTAGTTTACTTTATAAGTGTCCTTGCATAATTCTTATTGACTGTGAAATGTATTCACTTATGAACAACTTTTGGCTAGATATTAACTTTTTCTTCAGGTAAGAGCTGGATGAAGGATGCTGCCTGACTTTGAGCTTCCATAATCCTCCTGCCTCTGCCTCCCAAGTGCTTGCACTATCCTGTCGACACCACATCCAGCCCTGGATGTACACTTCCTGCTTCACTGCTTTTCTTTCTGAGATAAGTGCTAATGTGGCATTTTCTGAGGAGGAATCGTATGTTAAATTTTAATCTTGAAAGATGTCTGACATTGCTTGTTCTGCCTACATGTTCTTGGGGCTTTAAATTTTTATACAATTCAAACTTTAGATCTTTCTAATCAGTTGTACTCCAATGTGAGTTAGCTGTACTGAATGGTGTTCTTTTAAATGTATTGTTCAATGAGTTCTGGCCACTGCATACACCTGCATGATTAGACACTGCCCTGTGGTAGCACAGGACATCCTTGTCACCTAAAAATCCCTCCTTGTGCACCCACTCCTCCTAGTCCTCCCTGTCATGCTCCTGTCCCCATTTCCATCTCCAGAGGTTAGCTCTGCTGTGTCTGCCAGTGGCCTGGCTTTAATTCAGCATGGTGCTCCTATAACTCAGCCTTTAATCCATGGACAGTATTCTTATATGAATGAGGCACATTTCATCCACTTACTTCTGGTAGACTATTTGGGGCCAGTTCAGAAATTAGGCTGTAATGTTCACATTTGTTTCTTTTTATTTCTTTTTTATAGACATGACTTATGATTTTCTTGGTTGAGTTCCCAATGGTAGAATTGCTACATCATGTGATAAGTGTCTGTTTTAGGGTTCATTATCTGCCAGGTCCTGTCTCTCATGGTTTTGTATTCTTGCTAGCATCATCTGAGAGCTCTGGTTGTTGTTTGTCATTGCAAGTGCTTAGCACAATCAATCTTTGAAGTTTGGCCTCTAGTATGAAATGCTATCTCATGGTTTCAGTTCAAATTTCCCTGACAGCTAATGGTATTGAGAAGTTTCATGGACTTAATGCTCATTCTTACATTTTAATTCGAACAGTGTCTGTACAAGTCATTGGAAGTTTTTAATGTGTCTTTTGGCTGTAAAGAGTATGAAAACTCTTTGTCTAATGCTTTAGACACATAATTAATTAATTAATTAATCTCCAAAGCTTTCTTTACAGTGTTGGAGTGGGACCTCAGGCTTTGTAAATTCCAGACAAAATCTCTGCACAGCTGTGTCCCTGGCACTGCTTATACTATGTACCACTGATTTTTCAGGAATGATACTTTTGTTCTTTACTAATTCCATTTGAGATAAAAATGATGT